TAAATTTATTATTTATTTATTTTATTTTATTTTTACTATACGCATTGGTTATTACATTTGTGCATATGATGAAGAGCTAATAATACCTAGAGTGTACGACGGAAAAACGGGAAAATAGTGCAATTTCACGACATGATTATTCTACTTTGCTTGCGAGTCTAGAATAATTTTATGGTATTGCATTAAGCAGAATTCTTTGCTCTCTAAAACAAGACCAACCGCTTATCAATACGATACCTCGATACCTTCGATATCCTCGAATCAGTCAGCATCCTTCTCGCCGCTAAGGTTGCTTTATGAGAGTTCGGTTTTTCCGCGATAACTTTATGAATGAACGGCGTTTCGGTTATCATAGGTGACTTTCGGGGGCATCGCCTATGCCCTTATCTCTCATTATGTTTCCTAGCACGGCTAATGCCCGTTATGATGGAGCCGGCAATGCTTTCTAAATTAAGTCTCTACAACGCAGCTCAGTTACTATATGGTGTAGTAAGAGTACCAAATTTGGGCATGTGACATCAATTATCAGCGCTCCAAACGGTGACGGAAACCGATAGCCAAAATGCTTGACTCCTGATATTACTCTAGGTCATCTGTGCTATCGCTCAGAATGACCTCACGCAATGCCGCTGGTGTCTATTGTCCGTTCGTCCGTCCATCCGTCCATCCGTCCGTCCCCCCGTCCGTCCGCCCGCCCGTCCGTCTATCAGTCGGTCTGCCCGCCCGTCCGTCCATCAGTCGGTCTGCCCACCCGTCCGTCCATCCGTCCGTCCGTCCGTCCGTCCGTCCGTCCGTCCGTCCGTCCGTCCGTCCGTCCGTCCGTCCGTCCGTCCACCTGCCCGCCCGTCCGTCCGCCCGTCCGTCCCCGTCTGTCCGCCTGTTTGTCCGTCCGTCCGTCTGCCCGCCGTCCGTCTGCCCGTTCGTGCGTCCGTCCGTCCGCCCGTCCGTCTGTCCGGCTGTCCCCCGACCGTCTGTCCGGCTGTCCCCCGACCGTCTGTCCGTCCGTCCCCCGTCCGTCCATCTATCCGTCCGTCCCCCCGTCCGTCAGTCCGTCCGTTCGTTCGTCCCCCCGTCCGTCCGTCCCCCGTCCGTCCCCCGTCCGCCTGTCCGTCCATCTGTCCGTCTGTTCGCCCGTCCGTCCATCTGTCCGTCCGTCCCCCCGTCCGCCCCCCCGTCCGTCCGTCCCCCCGTCCGTTCGTCCATCTGTTGTGCCCAAACTTGGAATCTTGCACAAACTTGGAATTTCAGCGCATTCACAGTTTGGGCAACCAATCTTGAGATTGGGCAAACAGAGGTAAACACTAAAACAGAGCTTGCTCAAACATATGATTATTAGGATTTCAAATGTTATATCATAACTATAAGGTCGTATACCTTCTTTCCTCAATGAGTTTGGCACCTTTGTATAAATAATAAATGATTATAATAAATAATTGGATAAATATGAGATAAATCCCTTCCTAGTTTGCACCACCCACACCACACACTCGCTATGAGCGGTTGTTGAATCACCGATGGTTTCAGTTTGCACAATCTTGAGATTGGTCAGCCAAACTAGTGAATCCGCAGTTTGGGCAGCACAATCGTTGCACAATTTCGAGATTGGGCAGATTCCAAGTTTGGTTACAACACATCCGTCTGTCCGCCCGCCCGCCGTCTGTCTGTCCGTTCGTCCGTCCGTCCGTTCGTCCATCCGTCCATCCGTCTGTCCGCCCGCCCGCCGTCCGTCTGTCCGTCAGTCCGTCCACCCGTCCGCCCGTCCGTCCGTCTCCCCCGTTCGTCCGTCCGTCCGCCCGCCCGCCATCTGTCCGTCAGTCCGTCCCCCCGTCCGCCCATCCGTTCGTCCGTCCCCCCCGTTCGTCCGTCCGCCCGCCCGCCGTCTGTCCGTCAGTCCTTCTGTCCGTCCCCCCGTCAGTCAGCCCGCCCGTCCGCCTGCCCGCCCGCCCGCTCGCCTGCCCGTCCGTCCGTCCGCCCGCCCGTCCGTCCGCCCGTCCGTTCGCCCGTTCGTCCGTCCGCCCGTCTGTCCATCCGTTCCCCGTCCGTCCCCCCGTCCGTCCATCTGTCCGTCCGTCCGCCCGTCCGTTTATCTGTCCGTCCGTCTGCCCGTCTGTCCATCCGACCCCCCTCCATCCCCCGTCCGCCCGTCCGTCCATCTGTCCGTCCATCTGCCCGTCCATCCCATCTGTCCGTCCGCCCCCCTCCGTCCGTCCGTCTGTCCATCAGGCCGTCCCCCCGTCCGCCCGTCCGTCCATCTGTCCTTCCGTCCGTCCCCCCGTCCGCCCGCCCGCGAAATTATTTTCCCCACTTGAGTTCCGGACCCCAATCTTTCCACAGCCAATTAGCGCACTCTATTCACTCGACTTCACTCTTATTTAGCATATGTCATGTGTGATTTTCAATAACCTTCTATAGCCGAGCAGGTAGTGCGCTGTCATTACGTCTCAACGGTCGTTTGTTCGAATCCCGTATGTTTTTTAATTATTTTCCTGTTTTCTGTATTTTTCTATCTTTATTCATTTAACTATTGTTTTCCAATTAACGCAAATATTTACATGATTTATTTACAACAATTTAATAAAAAAAATTTTTTTATTAAATTAAATTTATTAGTGTTAATTAAATTTAATTAGGGTTAGAGTTAGGGTTAGGGTTAGGGTCCGGAACTGCAGTGGGAAAAAAAATTTCACCGCCCGCCCATTCCTTTGTGGGCTGGCGTCAACTATAGCGGTGCAAACAATAGCGGATCGACGTGCGCTGCTGATACCTACCACCCACAAAACAAACAACAAACAGAAAATTGAACAGGGGAATCTTAAATAACTGAACTAACAAGTGAAACTTAAACCATAATATTATTTGTATGAGTTGACTTCCGTACCTCAGATTCCGTAGATATAGCACCCAGTATGATCTGTTTTGTCAACGCACATGCGCCGTTGTTACCTGCATTCATTAGTCATCATCGCTCGGCTCGACAAGTACGACCAATGCAGCGACTTCTAGCAACTATACTCAGACCGGATTATTTTCAAACTAATGCGTGCCCTGTCCGGAGTAGGCTATGCCCTACCTGGCTATGCCTAAATCGCCCAGGACAGGGGTTAGTCGATTGAGGGCACTCGTGCAGAAATTGGAATACATTGAAGATGGCCCAATCGAATGTGACTGCGGGGAGGACCAGACTATGGAGATGCCCCCTATTACCAGAGCCCTGTAGACCTGGAGACCTTGAGGCTTTCAATCACCGTGCCAGGACCTGTGTGCTGCAGTGGCTTGGTCGAGTGTAGTGTAGTAACCCTAGAAGAGGAGTCTAAAACTTCCAATCGAAAACCGCCATCTCGCGGAAATTTTTATTGTCATAATTGAATGTACAGAAACATACAAGCGTGGACATGTTAAATATCAAATTTCATTCATGGATGGCTTTCTACTCGCATGCAGTTGCCTAGTCTGCGACAACCCCGCTTCTTTCTCCACCACAGATCTCAGAGCAGCACTGTCGCACTGCGACGTTAGTATAAGCACTATTTTCAACTGTCAATGCACCCCGACCTCGTAATATCGTTGTCGTTGGATAGAGTGTACTCGTAGAATGTACGGACTTAACGCAAAAACGGTATACTTGTCTATCGTGGTGCGAATATTTGATTATAGCGACAATTAATTTGCAAATGGTGCACCGGATTCAAATAATAGTGTTTCTGACCAATTCTGTGCATTGATTCCACTGAGATGTATATAATAATCTATTGTATTATTAGTGTTATTATATAACATAGTGTTATTATATACAGATCAGTGATTGATTCTGTGTAGTGGAAATTGTTATTGCTAGAAAGTCTGAGTTTCGCGAGAATTGGCGGCGGAAATCAAAACGAGTAATCACAATTCGAATCGTGCATGTTCTGGTGACTATAATAGTCACGTGGAATTAGCAACAGTTTTCAGGATTAGCGTTACCGGCCGGACAAAAGTACCAAATTTGGCATGGAGTTTCTTTTCGACCTATCTATTGATTTTATTCGTGGAACCCACTTGATCGGTTTCGATTTTCCCAGATGGCGGCGAAAATCCAAGATGACCGCCAGAAAAAGGAAATGTATATCTGGCTGTGAAAATCGGAAATGAACAAATGAGGTGTCAATTCAGGGGTTTCTGGGGTCACTGAAATAGATGCTGGTCATGGCATTTTGCTCAGGTTACCCATTTCCAAGATGGCGGCCATATTTTCCAAAATGGCTGCTAATACTACAATACTATATTTGACAGAAATTTGGATATAGAGTAGCTCCAAGAAACGGTCTTTGCTAGGGTTAGGAGACCGTTTCAAATTTTTGCCCATGAAAATGTGTAGTTGGTTCGGTATCCAAACATCACCACAGCTAGCGTCACATGTAATAGCTCAAACGAATCTATAGACCTCTGGCTTGCTCACGGTAACTGGGCGCTACTGGGCGCTACTTATTTATTGAGTTATGCCGTATTTTCTGAGATGAATTTGATGAAAAAAAACAGACAGCCGCCATGTCCGCCATGTTCGGTGCGACCAAAATCGGCAATGGACCTGATTCTGATTCTCATATTTGTTAGAGCCCATCGGGAGAGAAACTTCCCATTGTGTGTTACTGTATTAGAGGCACTCGTACCATTGTTCTTTGCATTAGACCACGTGAACTATTCTCGGTGGCTGCCTGTACACATCAGAGACATGAAGGCGCTGCCACAAGAGATCAAAGATGAGTTTGGAACTCAGAATCACTGGACAATCGCAAAGTCGTCACACAGATACTCTGCGATCCCAATAGACCAAGCACATGAGCAGGAGAATAAAGTGATAAAAGCATCCGGTGGTGCAGTAGGACTCACTGAGAATCCAGTTGCCTTCAGACGCTGGATGACCACTGGACCCGACCTTCCATACTTCTGAGACGGTACGAGAATGGATATCTTCATGACGATGATCCGGAAAACCTTGCTAACTTCGAACACCATGAACAGGGACTTGCAGCACAGAAAACCTTCCAGCGACAGGTTGATATCCTATCTAACACAACACGAAAGATGGGAAATTCCTTCCTGGATGACTTCCCAGAGTTGGTAACTCTTGATAGTCGTGACTGCGCGAATGAGGCGGTAGTGAATACAATCCGTACACTGGAAGACACAGGCACAAAGAACTATCAAGAGTATGTGAAGACCGTGCTCGTGGATCGGAGTCACTCCATACATGATACGATATCAAAGAATTCACTACCCCTGTTCTCAACAAAGCTCAAAGTCAGATCGAAGGATTGCAAGAAAGTAAAGGTGCTTGAGAACAATGTGGCACTCTTCGGCCAGTTATACATCTCCTTACAAAATAGAGATGGTTACATCAGTGAATTCTTTGCACACGAAGTTCATTCGTATCCTCCAAACCCCTGTCTGAGTTTGGAAAGCTTATTCTGTCTGGTACCAAATGTCATCTGTTACAATGTATCGAGGAACCAAACCAGACAGAGGCACCTGTATTATATGACTGCAAAGTTCTGGATGGTGCGGTGACAGTACATGCATTGCCTGTAACAAATGTCTCAACATTCCAGGAATATGCTGACAACGTGTTTATACCCCATTTGGAATGTCAGCTGCGTGACACAAAGCGAGTGGATGTTGTGTGGGACGAATACCGGCCAGATAGCCTGAAGGAGGGCCTGGTTCGAGAAACGAGGCAAAGATGTGCATAGAAAAGTATCAGGTGACACCAAGCAGCCGGGGAACTGGAATGACTTCCTCCATGATCCAATCAACAAGAAGGAACTCTTTGAATTCCTGTCGTCAAACGTTGCGGATTGCAGCATCCCTCTTGAGTGTTCGGTATATATCACAGCTGGAGAGCATCTTACATGTGTTGGAACGCAGATCGAAATGTCCAGCTGCAATCAGCAAGAAGCAGACACTAGGATTGTGGTTCACGTGAAGCATGCTTTGGAGAATGGAGCAAAATCCATCCAGGTGCGAACTGTGGACACAGACGTCGTCGTTGTTCATTGTCATTGTCGGTGTGTTTCATGACCTCTCAGATAAATACTGATCTTGGTCTCTGGGTAGCATTTGGAACTGGAAAGAACTACACTCATTACAGCATCAACGCCATTTGTGCCCGTATTGGTGAACGTAAATCACGTTCCCTGCCCGTTTCCACTCCTTGTCAGGATGTGATACTACATCAGCGTTTAGAGGCAAAGGGAAGAAATCGTTCTGGCAGGCATGGAATGCTTACGAGCAAGTTACTGATGCCTTTGTTCATCTTGCCGCACATCCGTTTGAGCATCTTGACTTACATTCTGAATCATTTCAAATAATCGAGAGACTAGTTGTCGTAGTTTATGACAAAACAAGTAACGAGATGAATGTTAACAGTGCCCGGATAGAGCTGTTCAGCCAGAAAAGTCAAGCTGTTGACAAGATACCACCTACTCAGAATGCACTACTCCAGCACACTAGGAGGGCAGTATACCAGGCTGGCATCTGGACAACATGCATGTTATCTCAACAAACGAATCCATGTCCAACCGACTATGCGTGGGTGAAAGTTGGGAACTCGTGGGAACCTGTCTGGTCTACCAATCCAGAGGCGTCTAAAGCGTGCAGAGAATTCGTAAAATGTGGCTGCAAAAGGGCCTGTAAAGTCTGCAAATGCAGCAAGGCAAATCTGCATGATTCATCCAAATAGGATACATTGACTGTGAACTGTCGGGTAGAGATACATTGTATCAGGAGTAGATAATAGGGAAGGAGTGTGACAACAATAAACAAGGGAAATTCGTCATTTACTAGCCTGAAAATACCTACGATTTACTAGGCGTAACTCATCCAACTTGAGCTCAAATCGTACACAGTACATTCGCCTAGCATCGTGCGAAATCGTTTCCTCGTTTACACAAGCAATCCGTGTTTTAATAGAGGCGGGCAATGGGCTTGGATTGATGGCCAAAGAATGAATAATCGTACGTTTTAGTCTGTATCTCCGGATTGCTTGTGTAAACGAGGAAACGATTTCGCACGATGCTAGGCGAATGTACTGTGTACGATTTGAGCTCAAGTTGGATGAGTTACGCGTAGTAAATCGTAGGTATTTTATGGCTAGTAAATGACGAATTTCCCTTGTTTATTGATGTCATACTCCTTCCCTATTATCTACTCCTGATTGTATTAAAACATTGTAGATAGAATTCCTGAATACTACCAGTAGTCTAGTGTATAGTGGAACCCATATGCATTTTCGGGTACAATCTTTGAAACTTTCAGGGATTATACATATGATACCCCTTTATACAAAAACCAATGTTGGCAAATTTGCAAACTCCCCCTAGGTGGCGTAATATGCAAATTAAGGCCGCCATTACCAAAATTTCATTTTTTGCCAATAACTCCTTAAATATGCATGATACCA